TATAACGAAATAATTACTTCATGTGTATGTACCTACTATAAATTGATGTTTTATTTGTGTTATTCATACTTTATTATAAAAAACAAAATCTGTGAAACAATTTAAGGCCACTTCTATAATATTAACTTATCAGAGATAGTAAAAGTCCCTGGACACAATGGCAGGGAGAAGTATTGCCGTAGAGTATTATTATAATTAAAAAAACATATATTAACTTATATATTTTCTTTACATATCTTCTATTTGTGATGTGTATATCATGTTTCTTTATTGATAAATAAATAATATTACTAATTATATATCTACTATTATTAAGATTAAGAGTAGGATTAGCTCGATGAGTGAGGCACAGAGTCTGATTATCAAATGCCAGTTTTAATCACTGGCCCCATACAAAGCAATTTTAGCAATATCCAAAAATACTGTGTATTCCCAAACTTACAAAATAAATAAATAAAATGTACTTACCGATACCAAATGATGCATAGTATAGTAATCTGTATCGCCATAGTACACACGGACCGTGTGTATCGTAAATCCAAAACCGCGTGGTCCTCGGCGTACAACGATCGGCGGTTTTGAGGATTGAATTAACCTATAAAATACATTAGAACATTAGAATAAATGAGGACGGCAGTGTGAAGGACTCGCGTCTTATTTTGTAATGAGGTATAAAGTTTTTCAAACGTTTTGATAAAAGGTAAGATAAAGCATAGATCGCAGTTAGGGTCATAAACATAAATTTTTTTTTTTTTCTTTTATACAGCTGTATTGGTACGAGCAAGTTGCTTTTTAAAAAATTTGGACAGGACCAACCCTCCCGACGGAGGAGGCTCATCTGTTGTTAAGTCCATGGACACTTTCAATGCCATAAGGCTCGCGAGTGCGTTGCCGGCATTTTAAGAAGTGCGAAAGGGCCGGCATCAATGAAAAATGATCGGTTTTCTACCACTGCTAACTTTAAATATTAAACACGTAGCATATAAGTTACATTCGACTTACATTATTGTTATTTGTTTGTCATGTTATATATGTTAATATAAGTTTTATAATATATAATATAGTGTATTTGTATTGAAAGAAATCTTTTAAAAATTATTCCAATAATTTGTGTTGTTCTAGACAGAAAGAAAACATAGAATGTTATTGAATTTTGACTATCATTTTATTACTTACGAATGGTTAGCAATAGCGAACGGCGATGGCGGATCGCGACACGGCGAAGAGTCACGTGACGAGTTGGTAGAAGATGTGTTGCCGGCACAAGGAGATCCACCACCCATACTTATTATGCTGTCTTCGGCTGCAAAATATAATTACATGTCACGTAAATCAGCAGATTTCATGAAAAGGTCAAGTATACTTTTAAATATAAAAATTCGTTATATAAATAACACAGATTATAAACTACCGCTCTATACTCTATGACATAATTTATCCAATCACATGAAATAATAAAAATTAATCAGATATATAATCAATAACATTATTCAGTTTTCGATAAAATTAATGCGTAGTACCTGGATGGATCACTAAAGAGAGGCCAGACGTGCTTGCCGATCGGCGCATTGACTTTGGAGCGGATAGCGCAATGGGTTTACTTTTGTCTCGTTCCACCTTATCCACTTTATCAAATGATTTATGTTCCTTCTCCCTCTTATTCTCCGATCTATGAAAAAAATTGTATGTTTATTATTTACGCTAAAAAATTTGTTGACAGTAACATACCTATCTCATTAATGTGCGAGCTACTTTCACTTTATTAACTTATTTAAGGGAAGATCAAATGGTTGAAAGTTGATTTTTCAATCTATGTATTTCGTTTCTAGAAAACGAGGTAGTACATTATTTCCTAATATACTAATAACACTTACGGTTTCGGTAACATAGCGGGATGCAACTGTGGCTGCACGAGACTCGACAATCCATGAGTCAAATGCGTATGCGCATGTAAATGGGCCGTGTGCGTCGAGTGAGAATGTGCGAGCGGCGCACGCAACGCAACACGACGACGAGCGGCCGGCGACACGTCGTCAGAATCCGTTTGAGATGATTCAGCCGAGTTTGCTGATATCATCTGTAGATAATAAAAAGTTTTAAATATTGAAAGATTTGTCCCTCATGAGAGATTTAGAGTTGTTAATAACAATATTATGAACAAATATTTAGATTATAATAGCTGAAAAGCATGCGAAAAACGTCGGGACAATCATAAAACAAATTCAGAATAAATATTTAATGCACTTAAAATGTTCTTCTTCGACCAAGCTAAGACCCGGAGAGCTATAGAATGATGATGACAACAAGGTTTATGATTGTAAAATAACAAATAAATTCTGAAACCTATATATTTTCGATATTTATATAGGTTCGAGCCCCGGCTGTGCACCAATGGACTTTCTTTCTATGTGCGCATTTAACATTTGCTCGAACGGCGAAGGAAAACATCGTGAGGAAACCGACATGTCTTAGACCCAAAAAGTCGACGGCGTGTGTCAGGCACTGGAGGCTGATCACCTACCTATTAGATTTAAAAGTGATCATGAAACAGATTCAGAAATCTGAGGCCAAGACCTAAAGAGGTTGTAGCGCCACTGATTTATTTATTTTATTATAGAATTTTATATTAAAATAAAGTTTTGATTGACTTGCCCCTATGAAACAACGTTAAACTAAGCATGCTTCAACACTTTTTCATCCTAAAATGTTTATTATCATAATACGTATTAATGAAAAAATATAACCAAATATATTTTTCGAAAATTTAAAGTTATGGAATTTACTTTTAAACAAAAATGTAACCCTACCGGGCACTTAGGATGATGGTGCGAAGTTTGCGGCGGCGCAGTGGGTGTGCTTGGTGGGCCTGCACTGTCTGGCGTGCCTGGCCAACTATCCGTGCTCTATTTAAATAAAAATACTTAATTAATAAAAAAATACACTAGTCAAGGCCATAAGCATTCTTAAAAAAACTACTCTATATGATTGATGTAATCAATATTGAAGAAACTCTTGAACCTCATAGTCAATTTATTCGGTTTAAAATTAATATTAATGGAAAAACAAACTAATTTTCGGTATCTACAAAAAATTCATTAACTACATGCGCATACGCACCTCGATGCTAACCCTCGATGAATGCGAGTGATAATGTCTCCTCCATTGCGGAGATGTAGAGGAGAAAGCGGCGAATAGCCCTGCCTCCTCTCCTCCCGTCTCCGCCGTTGGCCCACTCTCCCCTTCAGCTGCCTCGTCTGTCTCCACTTCACTGTGATTGTAACGATCACAGCGACCTATAATTTTTAGAAATAACACATAGTCTAAGTTTTGCAATATTTTACTGTTTTTTTTGGTTTATTGTTGTAGTATTAAATAAAAATTACGATCACCTAACATGTCTAATTAGCTTTATCGACACAGAATGAATAGGTTTTAGATGTGACTATAAATAGTTATTATGTCATGGACAAAAATATTTTGACCTCAACATCTCAATTTACAATTAAAAAAAAATTTAACGTAACCACCATTTAATACCGAATTTTTGTACATTATCGTTTAATACTTTTCGAACCCTATTATACTTACTATCAAAATAGCTGGTGTCCTCATCATTTTCCAGCTGCGGTATGAACTCAGCTTTCCGACGGAGTAAATTGTTCCAGTCTAGTCCGTAGAAATATATGTGTTCCTATAAGAAATAAAATATTTAATAATCAAAAACATCTAAAAGTACTATGTCTCTTTCTCTTTAGATTTATATCTCTCTAACCTTTACTTGATGAGTGCCTCCCGTCCCCAATCTATCTCTGGGGTTTCGAGCGAGTAAATCTGCAATTATAGTTCTCGCTTCTACTGCTATCGGAAAATCATCTTCGGATGGCCACTCTATGTCATCTGTGTATACAATAAAGATATTTACTGTTAGATGTAAGATGGCATTATACTACTAGAATTCAACAAATTAAAATTTTTTTAAATACTAATTAAAATTTATTTATATGAGCAGTGTTGGCCTAGTGGCGTCAGCGTGCGACTCTCATACCTGAGGTCGTAGGTTCGATCCCCGGCTATGCACTAATGGAATTTCTTTCTATGTGCGCATCTAACATTTGCTCGAACGGTGAAGGAAAACATCGTGAGGAAACCGACATGTCTTAGACCCATCTTCCTACCTACTTCCCAATTAGATTGAAAAATGATTATGAAACAGATTCAGAAATCCGAGGCCAAGGCCTAAAGAGGTTGTAGCGCCACTGATTTATTTTTATTTAAATTTATATATCATTAAAATTCTGCACATTTTATCTAACACATTTACGCAGTCAGCATTTACCTATTTACGCATAAGTAATTTTGAATTAAATAAGATGAACCTTGTGTTTTCACAATTCATATGTGCTCTGTGGTTTCTTGGGATTTAGAACATTTTCAGTGTTAAATTCCTGTTTAATTTACCTACGAAAAGTTTTGAATTCACAAACAAAAAGACATTACCATTGACTGTATGCGCAAAAAGTTCTTCGGGTGTATCACCGAAGAAAGGCACACAGCCCACCAAAAACTCGTACAGAATGATGCCCATCGACCACCAATCCACAGGTTTACCGTACCCCTGTAAACATTGTAACGTAATTAGTAATGTCTACGCAACTTATTAATTGATAACACATATGGCGTGAGAGTTCAACAATTTGTACGTATTCACAGCTTGTACGTACATAGCGTACAACATTACATATCATTAAAAATATGCGTGCGTCTCGACACCCAACAGAAGTGAGAACTTAAACTAATCTAAGTTGAACTATTTATTATTGAAATTGTTTAACTTGATAAAAACTTAGGTTATTAAATTATATCTATATGATAATATAAGAAAAGGTTATTTATTCATAAAATGTTTCACTTTCTTTTTATAACCACTTTCAAAAACGATGTTAGTTTGAGATTATGCCTTATATGTCAACAGTTAATGTCGTACACTAACCACTGAGTAGAGAGAGAAGAAAGCGTATGTCCTTAATACGGATAGCTCTGCAGGTTCGAGTGAGAGAGGAGCCTGCCTACCACGACCGTATGCGCGAGAGAAAGGGACGCTAGACAGACTGGCGTCTCATAAAAAGTTATCACTTCAATACCATTTAAAAATCATAAAAAATTGGTACTAGGTCTTACATATTGTAAAAATATACATACCTGTCGTAATATGACTTCAGGCGCAATGTATTCGGGCGTCCCACAGACCTGCTTATCAGAGAACTGGCGCGCTTCGCGGTCAGCGTATTCCTCGTAAAGGTTCGTAGCCACTGCGTATACGATACATTTAATATAATATTAGGATTAAAAAACAAATCAACTATTTTAATTTCGTAACACAACTTTATTTTTCGAATAACAAATATAAATAAAAAAATAAAGTAATAAATAATAATATTAAGTAATTATTAAATTATGTGTCTCTACTACTTTTAGAGTTTTTTAACAAATCAAGTGATGAATATTTTGGACTAAGTACATATTATGTTTTTGTACCTACCTTAAATACTAGATAATTACAGTTTTTCACTTACATGACATGAGACCCATTTTGCTGAGTCCAAAGTCAGTGAGCTTTATGTGACCAGTTGCAGTGATGAGTAGGCTAAAATTAATACATTGATTACTCAAAGAACTTAAACAAATAGTATGGTAGAACAGTTTTTACATAAAAGAATGTATCATTAATTTTTTTTCACTTGTAACTAACTTCTAAGCCGCAACGTTTTTCAAATTAAACTATACTAGGTTTTGGCCAGGTTTTTTAACGAAAAAAATAACGTTTTTTTTTTTAAATTTAACGTGGCAAACGGGCAGGTTCACCTGATGTTAAGTGAATGCCATGAATACTAACATTGCTAGAAGACTAGCGAGTGCGTTGCCGGCCTTTAAATAATGCGTACGCTATTTTCTTAAAGGACCTTAAGTCGAATTCGTTCGGAAATACTTCAGTGGGCATAAAATTGCCCTTGAGAAACGCCTGCTTTTGGGGCGCGGGGGTTTGGGGGGGTTTTTTTTTTTTTCCCCCCCCTTTCCCCGGGGGGGGGTTTTTTTTTTTTTTTAGGGAATCTATGCTTAAATTAACAAGGTTGTAAAAAAAAAAAAAAAAAAAAAAAAAAAAAAAAGTTCGCAGTTCAAAATATTTTCTTTTCAGTGCTTAAAACACGGCGTAATCTATTAATAAAATAAAACTTTTTCCCTTTTTGCCCTTGAGTAAAGGCGAACACCTCGACTATTTATCTTGTATTTTTTTAGTTATGACGTCGCGATGATACGGATGGCGTCAGTACGACGGTAAATTTCATTGGGTCCACTCCCAACTTTCGTGTGACAAAAAGAAAAACATAATTAATATACATCAATACAAGTGAACATTTTCCGCTGCAGACAGATCGTTTCAACTGTTATTTTTTAAATTATTTTTTGTAGTCTGTTTGCTGTATTCCGCCTTGAGGCATCCGCTGGTGAGCCGTTTACTTTGTTGACTAAAAATTTACTAAATATTAACTTAATTTAAGTAACTTAACCCGTGTAATCAGTGAATTTAGTAAGAAGTTGCAAGTTAAAATTTAGTTGCAAGTAACAATAGATTAGAATTGTCTATTTGCTACGTCTAATCACTACACGTTTGGACAGGCAAAATTTAGTTAAATTGAAGTAAAGCATAAGCTGGCGGAGTATTGCAAAGCTACATGATTATCAAAACTATTTTCCGATATGCGTATACAACAATTAATGAACAGTAGTATAACCCTTCCCCCAATATTAATATCTTAATCTACGCCTTCTTCAAAACTACGTGCGTCCCCAGAACCTTCATCTTATTGGAGCATACAATAAAATCCCCAATAAGAGAAAATCCTTTTTTACGTGTGTTCCCTATATTTAGTTTATTTTTACGTGTAAGCGGTTACTTAAATTTTTTTAAATTGAAAATAGAGTGACTAGTACCTTTGTAATGTTTCTAATACAAGTATGCATAGTTATACTTCTCATCTTGTCGGGTTTAATTGATCACGATGATCGGAACAATCCGGCGATCCGTTTCCCGAATCGTGATTCATACCCGGTCACGATAAATACTCCACAGCCAATACTGCCTCAGCGAAGTAATGCCGTGCCATATCAGGCGGAAGGGGCCCTGCGCGCAGTAGAGTTGCGCAATCACCGCCTTCCACAAACTCCAGTATGAGACATAAATGGCGTTTCGTCTCGAATGAGCAGTACATTGTTACCTAGAAATATTTATTTAATTTAAAACGTATTATGTAAAAAGTCAATCAAATTCATGTTATAATCGTAAAAAATATCAAAATTATATACAGTGTAAATCTCTTTATAACGAATTTCAAGGGACCGATCATTTTTATTCGTTATAGAGAGTTTTCGTTATAGGAAGCAACCAATTACCATTTAACCAATTACATTCATTTATAATTTTATTACTATCAATAGGTATATTATTCTAAACACATATAATACAAAACGCATTTACTGGCCATCTTGACAGTTTCAAAGTTTGTTTACGACTGATAATACACGATAGGTGACGATGGTTCCCACAAGCAATGTTATCTAAGAATAATGGCGCACGTGTTAATGCAATTAACAATAACAAAGGCGAGACGGCAGTTTATGACCTCAGGTGTCTTTCTTAGAAATTTTGGCACCTCAAAAGGTTGGTTTTGTAAGCTGATTATAAAAACAATTACTTACACTTAAGATGTTGTTGATGTCTAAATATGAAAATATTTCTTCGTTATAGAGAATGGCTGTGGCGTTATAAAGACTGAATTAATGTATGGGTTTTGTGTTAAACTAAACATATTTAACTATTTTTTTGTTTCGTTATATATAATGACGTTATAAAGAGTTAACACTGTAGTTTCGAAAATAGATCAGTAAATGTCCGAATAATGCTATTGACCGCTATAGAAAGAAAAATGTTAAATTTCCACAACTGCAGTCTCTATATCTAGCTTTGTAGAAAGAACTTACCACAAAAGGATTATCCGCAAAACTTAAAATGTCTCGCTCCGCGAATGCTTGCTCAACTTGGTTTCTTAATATTAAATTGTTTTTGCTGATTTTTTTCATCGCGTACCTACAACATAATAAATATTGTACCACTCGTTTCATACCATACAACTTTCGATTTCAAATTGCTAATATTAATTATAGTATAAGTTTTTCGATTATTTTAGTAGTTACCTCTGTCGGGTCTGCTTATGTTTGACAAGGTACACAGCTCCATAGGCCCCATTCGAGATCAGTTTAATGACCTGGTAATCGTTTTCTGACGGGGTACCTCCCCCCACCCCACCGGGGGGTGACGAACGACCTCGGAGCCTGAAAAAAAAAATATTATTTGTCAGTGCTGGAATGGAGTTTATTATTTAAAGTCAAATCAGATTTACCATTTATACTGATGCATTATTAAAAAATTTATTTAGTTTTTGAAATTGCAGTCTTTATATCCTATTAAAGTATTGCATAATACAAACTTTGATGGTGACGAGTTCTGTGGCGGCGGCGGAGGTGGTGGGACTGACAACTCGGCGAGAGGATCCTTTGACAAACCCAGCTTGTGAATTATGTATTGAGGGATGTCTGTCGATAATCCCTAAAACATTTAACTAATTTTTATTCAGAACTGTCATTTGTCATAGACATTTGATAGAGTAAGTTAGCGTTAACACTTTTATGTGTTGTTTTTTATATATATATATATAATAGTGGTGCAAACGAGCCTGCTGGACGCCCATGTTTAGTGGGTGTGTTGCCGGCTTAAATTCGTTTCATATAAATGTCAACCGTAATTTTCGACTGAAAGGATTTAAGTTTAAAAAAAAATTACTGAATTAAACCTACGATACGTATCCGTCTAACTGGAAGCTAGGTATTAAGTTACAATACTTGGCGATTAAAAAGAGTGGCGGAAAGTTTGTTGCCAGTTCTTCTTACCCGCTCTACGCCCTTGAGTTGCGAACTGGTAGTAAATGTAAATTTACAATTAATTTAACTTCTTTTTGACGATTCATAAGTGTACTTGTTTACCTATATTAATAAAGATATTTTGAGTTTGAGTTTGAATAAATCGGAAAAGCACATAAGTCACTCAGGCATTAAAATAAAAACAAAAAAAGGTAAAACAATTTATACAAACTGTATTTGAAACTATTTTCTTTAAAACTATTTTGAACATGTACCTGCAAATGCCGTGCATGTCCCTCTGCTACTTCAAGAAGCCGATAGAATTTTTCAGGATCGAACTCCAGACACTCAAGCAGTCTTGCAGGACGAGCCATGGCAAGTGTCAGCCTGGTAACCAAAGGAGCAACTCTACCGCCCGCTTCTGCTGACTTCTCCCGAGTCTATTGAATTTATTTTGTACGTTACATTTACGTATGTGTATATGCTGAGTACATACATTGAACTTGTTAAAGTTATTTTATTAAAAAGAAACATACTATAGTCTATAAATTGAAAAGGTTAAATTTAAAAAAAAATTTAAGCAATAGCATTTCATTAATAATGATATGCATAAGCGTGATATTTCAAGCCATTTAGTCCGGGCGCTTAGTTGAGTATGCAAAATTTGAGTGACGAATTTCACCAACGGATTTGAGTTAAGAAAATGTCAAGGAATAATAATGTAGATCTTGCCGGTCCATTTCTGGTTCCATTTTTTTTACCCCCTTTTCTCTTATGCGTAAAGGGAATCTAATGAGTACATGATATAAAATCATTTTAATGATTATATCTATAATAATTTATAGTTTGTTGTTATGGTAAAAGTGAGGATGGATTCATATAAATAAACTTAATGGACCGGCAAGATCCACATTAATATTCCTTGACCTTTTCTTAACTCAAATCCGTTGGCGAAATTCGTCACTCACATTTTGCATTTGCATTTATAAGGTATGAAAGTACCGGCTGCAGCGCAATCTGCCGGGCTGATTAGTGAATCTGTTTAGATTCACTCAAAAATTCAAATGGTTTCATTTAGGACGCCAACCAAACGGATACACAAAAAACATTTAACTCGGTACAGCCGTTTAAGATGAGTTCAGTACAATCATGCATTATACAATTTAAGAGGAAAAACTTTTCTTTTCTGATCTACTATCTGATACTTTAACAATATTTTTTATAGAATGTAGGCCACATTGAAAGTAAATCTAAATAAAAAAAATAAAAAAAATTTGTTATCAACAATATCTACCTCAGCAAGCAGCCTGTCCAAACTATCACCCATGTCATAGAAGTAACTGCTTGTTACCTGCCTCGACTCAGACTTGTGAAGACAATCACGGGCCATCTCTAAAACCTATCAAAAATATTACAAATTTTAAAAAAAACTCCAAATACTAAGTTTAAAAAAATGTCATCAAAAGTTTTAAGTGTTACAGTAAATTTTTTATGCAAAATACATAAACGCAAATAATTAAAGCCGTCATAATTGATGAGATATCAAAGCTATAATGAAACAACATATTCTAGCTAGAAGTTATAACCCTGATTCTTAAAACCATGTGGGAATATTTTGGTTCAAAATCAGATCACCCTTATCAATTTGCGATATTTGTTTTAAAATAAGTGTATCATACATGATGATTTGCTATTTTAAAAGAATACCGAGAGTTTTTTACGCCGGCTATTCTCTCGGCCTAAACCTTCCGTCTTCTCCGATGAGTAGGGAAGTCTACAGATTCAAATTTAAAGACGTGGAATAAGTGATACCTGTATTTTATATTCCATAATAAAGTTCTTTAATAAAGTCAATAAAATAACAGGTCGATCTTGGTACCTGTCGTTGAACGAATCTTTCTATCGGCGGCCGGTCAGGCTTCTTATCAAGTTCAGTCAACTCGTCTATTAGAGACCGCAATCTAGAACAGACATTAAAAATAAATTAAGGTTCTTAATGAAATAATATTTATTATACCTATTAGTTACAACATCATAAACATTGTTTTATCTAATTTTTTTATAGGTGCTGTAGTATATTCTTCAACCTCTTTTCACCACTTTTTATTATCTTTATATTATTGTAGGTTATCGAGGGATCGATTTCTAGTTCGTATAAATAATGCACAGATAACTTATCTTAGAAATTATAAAATAAAATAAAACAGCTATAAACGGGTCGTCGATTATTATTAAAAAATTCGTGTCGCATACTTTCATCCAAAATCATTGATAAAAGCGAAAAAAATGTAAATATAGGTGTACCCAGTGACTACAACCCTTAGTCTTCGTCTCAAATGTATGTTTCGTTATTATTTTTCTTAATAGATTAGTAGGTGATCAGCCTTCTGTGCCTGCCACACTAAGGTATGCAGGTTTCATGATGTTTTTCTTCACCGTACGAGCAAATGCTAATCGAATCTACGATCTCAAGTTTGAGAGGCAAGTCGCCACTAGTTAAACACCGCTATAGCAGTGTTATCATAGATATTCAGATGAATAAATATTGATATATGATACATATTTCTGAATTTTATTGTCTACCATCATACTCATTATCACAGTTTAACAATAATTATAACCCCCAAACTCTGTAACAATCGTGTAAAGATTTCAAATAGGTCTAGATCCCTCCTTACTTACGTATATTCCATACATTCTCCTCAAACTTATTTTGTATTTCTTTTATAATAATTAAACTAAAATTAATCATTAACATACTTATCATTCATAGCCCTTTGAGCAGCCGGAAATCGTGCGGCGAACAACGCAGACATCGCTGTCACTGCATCTTCTCGAGATCCATCTGATCCCACACTACCACCCCCTGGTGAGCGGGACGGTGAACTAAAAACAATTTGATTATAAACTAAAAATATTTAAAAATATATATTTTTTAAGTATTACCGGTAAATAATGGAACGGAATGAAAATGAGCAGTCGCATATCGTACGTAAACCACGACCGCAATTTCTCTCAGTTCTTGAAGCGACACATGTTTGATATTAAAAAATAATACTCACAAGTAAGGGCGATCATATTCGTATTTTCCTCCCGCAACTAATAGTTATATCATCAAAAGCATTTTTCTAATAAAAATAGTTTAAACCAAAAAGTATAAAAAATCGTACAAGGTAATGAATAAGTAAACGAGCGTATTTAGGATTGTCCTTATATTATTTTAGTATCTCATACCTACAACATTTTATACATTTTATAGACATCAAACCTTAGACTTCGGCTTCGAACGCGTCGTGGTATATTCCGAGGCGAGGGGGAATGCGGGGGTGAAGCAGGGCGAGGGACGGGGCCACTTCCACCGCTGTCTGACAGTGATGCCCAGTTCATACCACTGCCTTGCGAGCTGCTGTAAGGGTAAATATATAAAAGCTTCATAAGATAGACAAGAGTTAGTAGGCGAAAGTAGGTTTTATAAGATAAAGGGTCATAAGAGCCAAGCGGGTAAAAATGCTTACTTGAGCGAATTCTGATGTTGATGGCAATGGGGGCAGTGCGCGCGCGGCGTTGGATCGCACGGAGCTTGCACGGCCAGCAGTCGCTCTTGGGACGAACATTGTGACTGCAACAAGGGTATAGTACTGATAATAGGCAGATGAAATATTTGACATGCCAACTAAAAAATAAAATTACCTAAAATACATTCTAAGTGCTATTCGTCAACTTGACCCTTTTCAAATCGCGCACTAGAGATTATGGTATTTTTCATACAACTTTCACATGTACGCGCGTTAACGCGCGTTAACGCGCGTTAACGCGCGTCAACCCCTCAAGAAAAAGTCTCTAGACGCAGGTGATCGCGCGTTGACGCGCGCTTGATATTAATGTAATGTCCGTTTGCTGTTCAGATGAGCGCGCGCTTTCATCGCGATGCATGTAATTTTTATTAATTTTCGTAATTATATTTTGTTCTCGCTTTTAAAATGAGTGAAATTGAAGATATTGACATCGACTTACTAATCGATGAAGTAGAAAAAAGGTCAGCAATTGGAATATAGCAAATTTGTATAAAAAATATAATATAAATTGTATTTTTTTTCAAAATTGGATAAACCCAATGTGTACGTTTTCTTTTTCTATATTTTTCTTTTATAATATAACCACAAAATAATAGCCTCATCCACGTCCATTTTCTACGTTCCTACCGAACTAGACTGACGAGTACCTCGCCAACGCGCGTTAGCGCTCATCATCTGAACGCTCTCAATTGATCGCCTTGACGCGCGTTAACGCGCGTTACATGTGAACATAGCCTAAATCGTATAAACACATAAAAAATCCAAACAACAATTTATTAAATCATTAGATAAAACCTTAATTTTGAATGGGTCACTAAAATTTAAGTCATATGTTTTATAACTTTTATTTTATAAGTCATTATATTGTTTTGTGTTTAAAATATTTCTTTCTAAAAAATATGTCAGCCATTTCAGTTAAAACAACTAGACAAATTATAACAAAACTAATGGGGTCAAGGCTTCAACAAAATTATTTGTTGCTAAACGTGTTAAATATTAAATCACGACTCCACGAGTAACGAACGATCTGAGTGCTTTCACTATAGCTATGGGTAATTGGAACATCGCATAGTATAATAGCATAAGTCTTCGAAAAATATGTATAAATAAAAATTATGGAAAGTCTAATTCAAAAAAGTTTAACCAGCACACAATACAGTTTTAAAGAACAAATCACATCGATGTACATAGGCTGCACTAAAAGTATCGGGAATGGAATAATACCACTGTTCCTGTCATATTTAAATCTTTTTCATTGAAAACTCCTTTTTTTTAAATCGAATACCATTATTAAAAAAAAAGATTCTCGGTCTTTTCACAAAGTTTTGTCAAACTTGTTTAGTCGTTGGGAAAATGATTATGACTTTTGAAGTGGTTTATCACAAAAACAGTGTGTTGACCGGATAATTTCTGCATTTGGTGATGAAGCCCCATCCAAAACCACAATTTATCGCTGGTTTGCTGAATTTCAACGTGGACGTGTCAAGCTCAGTGATGATCCCCGTCAAGGTCGTCCAAAAGCTGCTGTCACCCAAGAAAACGTTGATGCTGTGCGTAAGCTGCTTGAGGAAGATCGACATTTGACATACCGCGAAATTCAGGCAACTTTAGACATTGGCATGAGTCAAATACAAATAATCTTGCATGAAAAATTAGGTGTAAAGAAGTTGTTTTCTCGATGGATACCGCATTCGCTCTGTGAAGAGCAAAAAGCGGTTTGCGTTACTTGGTGCGTCAGAACTCTCGAAAGATTCCACGCAGGATCCTCAAATGCTGTATACGACATCGTATCAGGTGACGAATCCTGGATATACGCGTACGAACCCGAAACAAAAACGAAATGCTTGGGTGTTCGAAAATGAGTTAAAGCCAACGAAAATTATTCGTTTACAGAGTGTTGCAAAAAAAATGGTGGCCCACGTTTGTCTCCAAAACCGGCCATGTTGCGACTATTCCTCTTGAGGGACAAAGAACGGTTAATACAGAATGGTATGCTAGCATTTGTTTGCCACAGGTCGTTTCTGAACTCCGTAAAGAGAACTGCAACTGCCGCATCATCCTCCATCACGACAATGCGAGTTCTCACACAGCGCACAGAACCAAAGAGTTTTTAGAGCAAGAAAACATAGAATTATTAGACCATCCGCCGTACAGCCCCACCCAAGCCCTAATGATTTCTATACTTTCCCTAAAATAAAGAATAAATTGCGTGGTTAGAGATTTTCATTACCTGAAGAAGCTGTGGACGCCTACAAAACGGCCATTTTGGAGACCACAACATCCGAATGGAATGGTTGCTTCAATGATTGGTTCCATCGTATGAAAAATGTGTAAAATTTCGCGGAGAATACTTCGAAAAGCAATAAATAGCATTTTTAAATAGTAATGTTCTGTCACTTCCTTGATTCCCGAAATTTTCAGTGCCGCCCTCGTATGTATTATGATCAGACCAATAACTAAGCGATGATGATCAGTCATTTTCTTTTAATGTATTTTTTTATCTACCCACATAAAAAGTACCACTTCTGCTTAAAGGGAAAAGAATTAGGATGACCGCATTTTATTTCAAATCATATTGTCACACTAGCGGAAGCAAGAATTAAATTTTTTTCCGAGAACGTGATTCATTGCGTGAACTTACCGAAAACAATTAGTCACAAATATTGATCGTGGCTATAAGAGGAACGTGTTACATTCGCTGCCGCTTAGCTTTAATGAATACTTCAAAACTGGCTCTAAAGAAAAATAATAGAAATAATTATTCAGTGCATATCACCTGATTGGTAATCTATGGCATCAACCTTTACTGTTGATGCAAATCAATATTTTTTTTACATAATACGAATATTTAACGACCCAAAGGGACGAACGTAAAGGGCGGTCATAGCAGCCCATGGAGACCTACTTTAGTGACTTTTGAGGAAGGATTTTGCTATTTTTTAAACAATGGAAGGTCGTATCTTTCAGGAAGACTCCTACCGATAGTCGACTCAACAGTGCGCAAAAGAAAATGACTAGTGAGCCATCAAGGTGATGCGGATGAAATTTAGAGATACTACAGTTTCTACGGTGATGAAACAAGCCGGGATGATCAACCCAAACAACTCTTCAGAACACTCCATAGTACAATAATAACAATATAATGTTTAATATAAAATAAAATGGTGACAATCGGTTACAAGGTAAAATAAATAACAAATGCATGTACCATGTGGTTGTTTTATCACTAGTTAGTATTCAGTTTTAAACAAAAACACACAAAAGATAACACAATCAGATTGCGGTGAAATGACATTGAAAAAATCGCTTGCATTAAAAAAATATTCCTAAGTAAACAATAAAGGTATGATAAGCAATGCTGTTAAAGATTAATCCTTGATAATAAATAATTGGTTAATACTGTTCTGTTCTATTACTTTCTTCCGGGTTTAAATTAATTGATTTGATTTGACACTCATTTATAATATGAAGCTAACCTAAGAGTCAGTCAGACTGGAACATCGATAGGTTAATTTTATAAAATATTAATGATAATGAAAGGAGAGTCCTTTTTATAGAGCCCACAGTTCCAAAGTGTTCACAACATCAACAGGACATTAAAGTAAATATAAATTAGTTTATCGAATTTATCCACCACAAACAACCTTCTGTTTGACATACCACATTAAAATCGCTATTTTTGTGGCGTCAGTAATAAAACAGGTTACATAACAACTTCATATCAATAAAACAAGATGTTTTTCCTCTTCTCTAATAGTCGGTTAAAAACGTTACGATAAATGCCATCCTTATCTAATCTGTTTCAAACCTAATCAAGTAAACGACTGATTCATTTTTTTTAAATATTCACTACCCTAACCTCGGATTATCGTATGATCACAAATGTACTATAACATCCGTTTTTAATCTTTACATAGTTACAAATAAATTAAAATTTAATAATAATAAATGTCTAATATCGCTACTATAACTATCACAGCAGTGTTGGCCTAGTGGCTTCAGCGTGCGATTCTCACCCCTGAGGTCGTAGGTTCGATCCCCGGCTGTGCACCAATGGACATTCTATGTGCGCATTTAACATTCGCTCTAACGGTGAAGGAAAACATCGTGAGGAAACCGGCATGCCTTAGACCCAAAAAGTCGACAGCGTTTGTCAGGCACAGAAGGCTGATCACCTACATTCCTATTACATTGCCAAATGATCATGAAACAGAGACCCAGGAGGCCCAGATCTAAAATGGTTGTAGCGCCATTAATGTTATGTTATGTTATAACTAACTATCGCTGTAAATGTCATTTTTTCCTAGTATATAATACATTCGATCTTTATGCATACTGCATTATATTAATGCACATTTTAATCAAGTAGGCCGTGTTCACTGATCTGGCCCTTTCTACTTGTATTACGTCTACTTTAATACATTGCTAGAAATAGGGAAAAAATACACCAATACTAACCGAAAGACTTGAGCTCCCTGGTGTTGTGCCGTATCCAGACGATGGTAGCGATGCTACAGACCACCTTCTGCCGTCTCTGAAAAGTTTCATGTACAGAAGTATGCATTATATATTATATACAAACTAATAGCCATGTGAAAGACGAATCTTGTAGACTATCACGTCCTTTGAAGATATTGTTTTAAGCCCTCCCATGACTAACCTTCTAAAAAGCGCACATATGATTCGGTGTATCAATTTAGTTAACGAATAACATAAAGGACCTTTTTCAGGTCCGTTATGTAATTCCGGTGAGTGAACTGTCAAAAGTTCTATTATTTGTTAGTGCCTATAGTAGAGTAGTTAGTTAATTTCTTGTATTTTTTATTATGTAATTTTTTTTTCCTAATTAATTCCGTATGTTTGTTTTTTTTTAGTTTTGTCTGTAAATTTTATTCACTTATTATGCACTCTTGTCAATTTAGGGTCGCCCGTTAAAAAAATATATGTAAAAGTTATGGAAATCGTTTTAAATGCCAAAAACTACTATTTTTCGAATTTTAACCAATTTGTTTACCGGATGAAGCATGCTTTTATCTAAACAAAATTGAACACTTTTTGACACTAAGTGAGAAATTAATTTTATTGAAATCTGACGTCATTCAGTCACACACTTAGGGTACTTCCTTTCCGTATTAAAATTGTGCACTGTATAGTATAGAATATAAGGAACTGTTATCTATCTAGAGTCACTAGGAAATTGATAAGACACTGGTAACTAAATAAGTTGACAGCTCTGAGGTTCAATCGTAAAACTCTGCCCTTCCTTCCTAATGTACTACATACTTATAAACTGTATCGTATACCGCGTCATATTTAAAAACCCACACATAAATATAACACAGAGGTTCTGGGATCGATTTCAAGTGTACCTACTGCGCGAACTCCATCGGTGGAATTTACTGGACTTCCCACGCTATCATAATATGAAACTACTAAATTACGTACATAACCTACATTACTATAAGTTTGACAACGTATTCGCTAAAATCTACGTATAATATTGTTATAAAGAATATTAATTAGCGCATAACCAATAACAAATTTTCATACAAATACTTTACGCAGAAGCTTTTAATAATATGTATAACCAAACTTACGTCAGATCTCGGTAATTATCGTAAGTTCAGAGTTAATACTAGGACGAAAAGTATTGTGCAAATTTTATTGTAATGTATTTTTTTATTCTGACCACCAATTCAGGCATAGACAAAAATCAATATTATCCCGTGGGTACAATTTAAGTTAATATAAACATACTCACATGTCCTTACTCCTAATCGCAAAAGACATGCAAACATAAGACACGATTAGAAAAACGAGTTGGCGACTCAGGCGCATTCCGACGGGAACATCAACAAATAAAAATATCCCGGAATTTATGTTGTTGCAATGCATTGAGTATTTCTGCTCTTAACTATATAAATACATCTATATATTATCTTACACGGAGAACACATATTTGGAAAAGAATGATGACCCTAAACTGATCCTTCAAAATGTATAGTACCTTCAGTAGATACAATACGTAATTATGATTACTAATTATTACTAAATTAATGCGTGGAACGCAAGTCAAAAAAAAAACACAAGTTTAAGTTTCGTAAGTTTTCGTAAACTTCGACGGTATAGTGTGGACTCAATTTTCGCGCTTAGACGCTCATTTGTGAGTAATGTTCAGGGGTTATGGTGATTAATTAAAAATAAACGCCATCAAGCCATACAAACAACTTTTACGAGGGCGAAATTCAATAAGATTGTAAGGTATCATTTCCTAAGACTGAAAGAAGCTATTATAAAGTACAAAATCAATAAAATAAATCTTGGCTCCAACTGTGGGCCTTCTTAGCAATCTAGGCCCTAGACAGCCTTTTCACTTGTACCGACTCGTTTGGCAACATGCGCGATAGATAGTGTTGCCAATTTCTAGATGATAAGCTCTTTGATCCTATGTAGACTCACGCATGTCACTTTTGTATGTAAAACAATCTTTAAATTTATCTGTGTATCTGTGCCGCAGTTTCACTCGCGTTAATGTAAATGTAATATGCGAGTGTAACGTGGTCACGTTAAACGTATTAATGTAACAAACTTTTTAGATTTTTGTATATAACGTAGATATTCAAAGCCCTACTTACAGGTCCTTCCCCCGTTTAACGCTAGATGACAGCAGGGCGTGATGCAACGGATGCGCGTGATGCGCGTGCCAGCGGGGCCCCTCCGCCGGAGACAGAGGTCCTGTACCCGGGGAACTACACCGCCCTGACCCAACCTGAAAAAGTAAAAATATGTCATATCCTTATTTATTAAAAAAAATAGCGTGTATCCTTTAACAAGGACAAAGGTCAACTAAAGTTGTGTATCTCACACTTAAACTAGCGAACAACTGGACATCTAATACAGAAATCTTAAAGAGAGATCAGTTTCTTTTTATCTTCTATACCTACCAACTACGGATGTTACATTTTATTTTTATTACGTAAGCCAGATAAACATGCAAAGTGGACGGACAGCTTTAGCGAGTCGAGAAACCAGCTACACCATCCAATAGACTGGTCTCAAAGATTTCACTTGCATTCTGAGAAGAGACTCATTTGATAAATAACTTTTGAACAACGATAACTAAAGTGTTACGTAGTTTTAATTTACTCAGATATTTCGCGTATTTAAATATAAATCACATTGTTTAAATTAATCTTTTTCGACATATGTAACAGGCGTTTAAAAACCTTGTGATGAGTGTCTGTATAATAAGCTAAAGGACCTTGGAGCACACACATTTTCTCCACACACATTGAAAATAATTATTGTGAGTCTAGACATTGAACGATCCCAAATTCCGGGTGTCGTTGGACGAAATAGCTACAAAGGTGTATTAATTTATAATACAAAGTCGTAATTCTGTATGAAAAAGTGTATATTGTACCAACATTAACGCGGGTAAATGACAGTATCTTATGAATATGTTTGATTTGAAACATCGCCCTCTACATTACACAGGATTACGCGTATCTTTTGAAAAATACCAGGCCCGAAAGGCAGCGACAAATTCTAAACAGTCAAAGTTGTTTGAGAAAGCTAGCTTAAAGTCAACGGACAGGACATCCTATTCACAACGATTCTCACAGGTCCACTCTATTTTAAACATTAGAAATTAGAAAACGTAAATAAAAGATTTATGTAATTAAACTTAATTATCTTCATGTCCGTTTCTCAATTTGTATCTTATTAGGTATGTATTATATTACGTTTACTCTGTATTTTCGTTCTCTATAATTTCAATATTTTTATATGTATGTTTTTGTTTAGTAATGTTTTTGTTTTCTATGAACATATCTAAATATACTAGACTGATTCAAATTTTTTTTTTAATCAGTCTCATATATACGCTCCGCTTTTAGATTATTTATTTGTAATTACGACTGTTTCATTTCCAAACACACTTATATAATATTGAGAAATTATATTTCGCTTGTGAAATTAATAATTGTAACACATATTTCGATACCATCGGAGGCTAAAATTTGTCTTGTGAACTATGAACTTCCTAAGCATTGGTATTTTGGTATTTATTTAGTACATTTTATATTAAATCAAATTTACGTGTGACAAGAGATTTATACCTGCAATGTTATCACGGTCAGAGATATATTAAGATCTCATTTAAATGTTATAATGTCCATAAATGTTTATCTAATATCCCTCTACTAGTTTTTGCTATACCTTGATGCGGTTCTTGACATCTATGAGTCACGATAGACTCCTAACCTTCAAGTACATTGTGGTACTTATAATTTAAATCGAGTTCATCGATTTTGTTCTTTTTTAATCATGTTTTGTATTTAATTGACCCTAACATGAAAATAATATTTAAATACATATAAGAAATATTTCTGTCATTTATTATTACATTATTGATGACAATATATGTAAGTCAATGTTTACGTATATATACGTTTTACTGTATTTGCAACTTATGTTATTCGGCAACACAATCCTTGGAAATGACACTGCGTGATCCGCTTACATATCACCTTTATGCTTGCTGTATTTGAATAAATGCGTAATAAAGGATTTCGCTCCGTCATTCCGCTAAAACGTAGTGTTGCCAGGACGTTACAACACAAATGGAGTAATGTAGACTTATAAATGGACTACTTTCGGTAATCGTTTCTTTAAACCAATAAAATTGTCTATAGTCTATATTAACCGTAAACCAAGGAGTAGGTATTATAAGAGTTCTGTAAACAAGGCAAATTACAATTAGTTTTATTTTTCGATTAATCAAGTACCTATAAATGCATATAAGCGTCGATTTTGTAGCTTTGCCTTTCTTTGATCAAGGTCGTTCATTATTGCGAATTATTCAAAACTGACCAAGCACTTACCACAAGAGAAAGCCGATGGTGCGGTGGCGGCGGCGGGAGACGGGACGGTCGTCGCGATACCGCACATGGCTCTTTCTGCGCAAACGCAATATTATCTTAATATTTTTATTCTTAAAATTAAGTAGTTTTATATATATCTATAAAACAAAATATTGTATCCATTGCTTTTATTTTATTGCATACTTTCTATTAGTATAAGATCCCGCTATACAACGACCTTCACCGAGATGCTTATTTAATGAAACTTATTTTATATTTAATTTAATATGTCAATAAATATAATCCATATGGGTTGCCTAGCAAATTTCAGTCCAGAGTATGTTTAATTAATATTTAAAAAAATTTTTTTTTATAATTTGCATTTGTAAATTTTTTGAACTTTTTCAATCAATATTTTTAATCAGGGTAGTATTATATATGTATCACTATAACCTTCTTTTTATACTAAAGATGTATATATACTTTAGTGTCACATAAAAATACACATAAATAATTAATTGATTAAAAACAACCTAACGTTTGCATATTCTATGGGCTTCATACGTTCGATTGGTATAGAATTTATCTAATAATCATACCGGTGAAATGTTTAAAAAATATTTTTTTAAAAATTAAACTTTTTTTAATTAATTTATACTCTGGACTGAAATTTGCTAGGCAACCCATATGGATTATATTTATTGACATATTTAATTATATATAAAAAGTTTCATTAAATAAGCTTCCCGGGGGGGGGTTTTTTTTTGGGCTTTTTTCCCCCCTCCCCCCCCCATCGCTGAAGCCTGAACCAAAACATTTTTGAATCTATTATTTCTTCAAAAATGCTAACCAAAAATAAGAAAAAAACCTCCTCTAGGTGGTCTACCCATTAAAGGAATCAAAACTAAGGGTACAAGAAGTGACGAGTCAAATAGTTGTTTAACTAACTAGATTAACGACAAATAAACACAACTTAGAAAAAATAGATTTAGATTTGCGATAACTCACCACATGGACGGAAAGTGTCGGTGCAGATTTTCCGAGTGCTGAGCGACGCATTCGCAACAAGTTGTTGCGCTTGCTCGCATCTGTAACAAATAATAATTTTATTGAGTATTTTTGAATGAACAATGTCGAATTAGGTTTTAAAACCATATATAGCATTTTAAAGCAAAGACTAAACTTTGCTAAAAAATTATTTTTAGCAAAGTTTAGTCTGACAAAGCACTACTTACTATACGTGTCAAGTTACAAGTCGTAAATCAATATATAAATCGGAACATGATTTTAAGTAAGTAAACTATAGGTAAACCTCTTTTAATTTCAAGTCAGTCATTTGCAACACATTCTACGAGGTAAAATTATGTTACAAACTTTACCTAATGCTTTCTCATTCAAATTGTACTCAATTTGCAATACAAAAGACAGTCAATATTGCTTACTTATAATATATGATAATGCAAAATAATTAATCTTATTTTAAACTTCGCAAAAAAATATTTTTGTTATGAAATATTTTTATCATGTTTGTCAAAATCAAGAACGATATTTCGAATGTTTATTATTATTTTTAGTTAAGATAAAAGTGCGCGTCAGTGTCACCGCCATAGGATTAAAAACTATATCAAAAACCTTGGCGTACTTTATCATTACTTATATAATATGACGTCACTCGTCACACCTCCGCGGCCCGCCTTGCCGATGCGAAAAACGCAATTTCAATGTGCTGGTTTAGAAAACTTGCGAGATTTCATTGGAATATTCTAAACTTGATGAATCGGTATTCGTTTAAATTAGTTTATAGCGTTAAAAGCTTTAAGGCCGTAGCTAGCTTACGTAAAAGTATCTTATTTATTCATTAACAATTTGCACTACATAGTTGGTACAAATACATTCAGATAATAAATTAAGGATGCAATGAACGGCCTTATTGCTAACAAGCGATCTCTTCCAGGCAACCCCAGTAAGGAAAAAGAAACAAGAAAGATATTTATAGTATTACAAAAAGAACTAAAAGCTACTTTTAAGAGTCATGAATCACGATGCTAGGTTCTAAAATATATTAAGTATTAGTTAAAATATTTACAAAAACAAAAAAATAATATAAAAAAACTTAGTATATTAATTATTAATAGTAAATCTAAATAATATTGAAAAGTCTTTCACTCATGCATCATTTCACTAATAATTATTCATAGACATGAATATAACACAAGACTATGAATAGAAATTCACCGAACAGTATGGGTTAACCTATGGGTTTTACGTATACCAACTAAACCAGCGGCTGTCCTAGACAAAATTCGAGTCTACTCCGATATAAATATGTAAACAGATATTTGTTTAATCGGTCGGCAACGCACTTGCGAGCCTCGTGGCAGTAAGTGTCTTTGGGCTATCACCTAACATCCTGTTCTATAAAAAAGATATGGAATTAACTAATTAGTTTAGGACATTTATTGATTGATGTATTAATGTTTCACCTAAACACAATATGAACATAAGCAAGCAAAAAAACTGTTTCAAAGCAAAACGTGCAATAATAGTCACGTGCATTCCTCGGCGCGGCTCCAAGCATTTGTTTATAATCAATTAATTGCACATACCGGTGCCAAGTGTATTATACCTCTTAGCATAGTATAAGGATAAGCCACGTGACTTTGATAACACAATATTAGCATTTCCTTTCTTATTTCATCACCGCCTATATAACTGTTTAAGTACACCTACTAGCTATTAGATGAAATTCAAAATGGGAAACTTATAGCCCTTTTTAATTAAAGATATGTTCGCTTTTGCGTTGAATTATCACTAAAAAGTAGTCAACTTATAATGTTTCTAGATCGATGGACATACATTTCTGGGTGTGGTTCAGTTCTTTTTGTCAACTGCAACAGGAATCTTACACGCATAGGTGTCACCTAGACTTGCTGTTCCGTTACTACAAGCAGCGGTTTTGAAAGGTAATATTTTACAACTATTGTATAATATGTAGTTAGTTACACATTCATACACATTACACTCACTCATTCATTCATATGCACCCACACACTCACACACGAGTGTTACGCGACATGCTTTTTGTTAAAAAAAATTGGGAGAAATTGTAAACAGTTTTTTAATTTCTTAATAAAAATTAGTAACTTCGTTATGGAATTTATTAAGTTAGTAATGGAGGAGCTGGGAACCCTGGCACAGGTATTTTTGAAGTTATACTTCTTTTGACGCGTTAGGGAAAAATGATGAGAGTAAATTTTTACGATGCGCGCGCAGACCGTCACAAAAAACCGACACCCTGAAGTAAGCATAGTCAATATTTTAAAAATAAATGTTCATTTCTTTAATTATGTAGAAATATTTTTTTTGTAATATTTAAATCAACTAGGTATGTTTAACTAGATAATGCGTTATAATTAAATTTCCAATGTATTAAATACCTTTTTTCTATTGTTAGTGTCGTTTTTTCTACAAACGTAGAATGAGGGGAAAGATAAAATTTTTTAAAATATTTATATCTTGTTACGCCAAAGAAGTATAACTTCTAACGCGTGTACATAAGTACACACACATGTTTCTTTTTACTTATAAGGGTTCTCAAATCTGACACATTGTAATGCAACATATTTTTATTTATTTTATTTTCGTTTGTTATTTAAATACATTTAAAAAAAGGTATTTTTTTATTTTCAAACATACTATGTTTAAGCTGACTTTCAGAACACTCATGTTAACTGGTACCACTGAGCTGCTGATGGAGCGCCAATGTTGTCGAGGGTTACGTTATTTTAATTTCCAGCTAATAAATTAACCAAAGTAATTGACCAATAGAGCAACATAGATTATAATAAATCATTCGAACCTCACTAAGGGCACGACTCATATGTATCATTATGAGGCGCCACAAAAACACTTCTTTATAAATAGTACGAGCATCACAACCATGACCTTCAGCAACACTAACAAACGTTCCTACAGTCGGCGATGTAATTTCACCAAAGGTCAGTTTTCACTTAAAGCGATTCAGTATTTCACACATTTCGCTTTTCAGTATATATATGTGAGGAATTTAAATTAACAGTCAAAAGGCTAGGCAAGTAATGAAACGTCATCGATCCAAGTCATTTGCCTAGTTGTTTGATCAACTGGCTGAACATCTTTCAGGCCGTTAAACGGCGCCGTTTAGTTAAAAGGCTAGGCTATTAATTGAACGGCTAATTAAGCTAGTTGGCTGCGACATATACATATATGCTAATTTAAATGAAAGTAATGACGGCAAACAGTCGTTTATGTAAACAATGATTTTTACTAATATTACTATTTTAATTATTACATCTATTAGGTACAAAGATTAGATAGGTTTTTGCATAGAAGAACAACGCCTCGTAGGTTTATTCTGAATTAAAAACGAATATCTATCGAATAGAATTCAATTAATTGAATTTCAGATGGGGGCGCTCGAGGACTGAGATACTACTGACATTATTATATACGTATGAGAATACTTAAAGAACTAGTAAAGTCTGTGCTAAGAATACATCAGTATCCTACAGTTAGGAAGCGTTAAAATAGGTACGATGATTAGTAAAAATCATTACTTTCATTTGAATTAGCATATAAATACTGAAAAGCGAAATGTGTCTATTAATACGTAACGCATTTTTTGGAGTTTTTTTTTAAGAAAAAATACCTAGTTAAAAATTAAACATTAATAATATATTTTAGCTTCCAGTGGGTAATAGCGACATTCCTGCAGAATGTCTGTAATATTGTGTGACGGTACTACTTTACTTATAAGCTGTGCTTTTTTGAAGTTAGAAGCACTTATGATAGTCTGTCAATGATATTAAAACTAACTTTCACTATGGTTATTTAAAAACATACCTAGTTAACATTGAATTATATGAGAAACAGGTGTCAGTGACTACGCCAAGTGGTAACAAGGGCGTTGGGCTAACTCGATAACAGATTGATGATAATGTCGACAGAACATAAAAGATTAAAAAATCTGGTTCAAACGTTGACACGATTTTTAAGATGTCAACAACCAAACAACAATGTATGCATATACAATTAGGGCTTATGTAATATTTTAAATCTACCCTCAGTTTAAAATATAAATAAACAAATTCCACAATAAATTGTTATGCGTCAACTTGTTTTGTTTCAAAAATTGTCAAAATACCACACATTGAGTATGATTAAAGAAAAAACTTAAAATACTAGCGGTAGTGTGTCCAACCATATCTCAGCTTTTAGCTAGAAGGCTGGCAAGCATATGGTTTGCTCGTATTTGTATTGATTGGAATTAAAGTTCAGATCAATACGATAAAATTTTCTTCATGAATTAAGTTGTTACGCACGTTGCTGCATTATTAAGCTACAAGGGTTTAAATCTGTAAAAAAATCGATACTAAATCATTTGCTCGTATCTGACTCTGGAGTAAATGGTCAATACCATTTAGATAACGAAGAAAATCTATAAGGCAGACATCCAGGTCACATCATCCATTATCACAGGAGGTAGATGTTACAATGTAAAAAACGCTCCACTAAATCATTCGCTCGAAGCTGTAATTGGGTCCGTTCGATTTATTAGAACCACTGAATACAAAAAAAAATGGCAGACATTTTACTGACTGACTTTAACCATTACAGTTCGTTGAAGTCCGCAAATCTTAGGAAAAGTATTATGGCTAATTTATGCAATTATCCGTTGACTACTTTTTTGTTTTGAAATTTTTATTGACTTGCGATATATGAATTCCGATCCGAAAAAAAAATTAATAAAGAACATTCAAAAAACTCAAATGGTCTGTTTTCGGAATATCATACTGCACGTCTGCCAAGGGTGCATTTTATATATTATCTATGTTTTTTTTAAATTTTATAACTTGAAAACTCACTAGTCCTAAATGTCTGCCTTTTTTTTCGTTTTGATAAGGTTTTAATGTGATATAGTAGGTATAGCTGTTTTTTTTTACATTTTTAAGGGGGTGCAATTGACAACGCAGCTCTACCATGATAGCAGACGTGGTGCTTCATATTCCTTATCGTATAATTATCACAATTTAAAAACTCTGCCACGTGA